ACGAATTAATTAATTAATTAATTGATGCATTTAGCAGACGCTTTTATCCAAGGTGACTTACAGGTGACATTCAGGCTATATAGTTTTTTTTTTACCAGTATGATCATTTGAGAAATAATACCATTATACATAAATATAGAATTTAATGTTCTTATTATTTATTATGTTATGACATATCGTTTAAGCGTAAATTATAGTTGTATAGTCTTTGGTTAAAGCCGTTGTTTAAAGTTAATTCTGAAGGGACTGCATGCGTTTATCTGCCTAGATACAGACATATGCAACTCTGCATACCTCAGCGTGTCACGTGACTACATGGCGTTTCGCTATTGGTCAGCACCGAACCGGGGAAGTTGTTTGTGTCAAAAAGCAGGAAGCGCACAATTGGGTTTTTATTAACTAGGTTTCTTTGGAACATCATACTGAAAGTCATTTGTCTCTGTCCAGCAGGAAATGTTCTCTCATGTCTCTCTAATTTTTCTCGAAGCACAGTGTCTGTAAGTATAACCACGTCTTTTAAAATTCATTTAGATTTATACTCGAACTGATCAGAAGTCAGTGAACAATCACCACCTACGTTGCTATAGGCTGATTAGCCACACCTGAGTCTATAAATGAAGAGTGTCGAATTCATTTTCTTCTTGCTAGTCGTCCTAGTAGTTTTTCCGCTGAAGTAATATAATAATATTTTTGGACGGGTGCGCTTGTTGGCATGAATTGTTCACAAACAATATATATTTTTACGTTGAGAGATAGACTGTTTTTCGTTTTTTCTACATAACAGCATATCTTTATTTTTGTTAATAAGGTCTTCGTTTTAGTTTTAGTTTTAGAGCACTTGTTAAACGTGTATGCTACTCGTATAGTTTATTGTCTTTTGACCTGTTATCGGTTATATGTGATGCGTTTGATAAGGCATAAGATAAAGTTTGGACACGCGATTGAATTGGTTTACAATGGTTTGAAGGCAGTTGTTAGGTAGGCCTACTATGCAGTTTAGAACTTGTAGCTATGACTATTATTTACCATACGGCAGGGGCTGAAGCTCCATATTTTTAATTAAGTAATAATAAAAAATACCAAGGACAAAATATATCATTAAAAGGTTAGTTCATTAAACAAATTCGTTCTTGTGGCAACCTTCCGCTGGATGATATAGTGCCTTGCTTAAGTGAATGTTGTTGCGCAACAAAATTAGTGTTCAGAGCTGCTACTCAGCCGTTACTATTTAAGGGTATTAATTCGTAACACCAGTTATTAAGAACACATTTATTGTTGTTATTATTATTATAAAACCGTTAGTTTAATATAATTCATCCTTTCGCTAGAAGATATAGTTCGTGGCCTAATTGAACGTTGAATTAGCAATCAGCCCTGCGCAGTGATATGATTCAGCTGTTACCATATAGTGGCTTTTATGTGCTGACCAATCAGCAGCCAGGATCGGGACTGTAGCATTTACAATAGGGTTGGGCGATACCACTTATTTTGTTTTCGATACCATACCGATATTTTTCAAGGCAGTATCATCGATATCGATACCGATACGATACTTCTGAACTAAACTTTTAAATTATGAAATGTATTAAATTACTAAGAGTAAAATGGGTAATGATAACCACTTAACTTTGTTTAAAACACATTTTAACATTCAATACGCCTTAATTGTAATTTATTAGGTTATATTTTTGTTTACACATGGTTCAAATGTGTTTTTGTTTACACATGATTCAAATCTACAAATACTACAGTTGAACTATGGTCATTTTAGTAAAACCATGGTTCATTATCATAAGGGACTGCCAGTGACCGGCTGTTGCATCCATAAAATGCAACCTTTTTATTCTGACAGTGTATGATTTATATTAACATTACAGAATAGAACCTGATCAATATTATCTTTCAACGTTCAATTTAAATAAATGTAATTGTACAAACTATGTAGGCTACGATTTCAATTTGTTTATTGTGAAATAACTCAAACATATGTTTTTGTCTGTCCTCTGATAAGCATTGTTCAGGGCTGCCGTTCCCAAAAGCTTTAATGCTTTCTTATGATACTTTTGGGAAACGCAGCCCTGTTTGAATGCACTGTCAGAAGTGAGTGAACACTCTCTTTGATTGATTGGTTCTGTCTTGCAACATTTGCGTGTGTTCAGATGAGCAGGAAAATAATTCTATCCTACACAATTACTTGCGAACAAAGGTTATTTGTTCAATTCAATGCATTTGTACGCATTATTATTATTATTTTAAATAAACGAAATCACTGGTAAATAAAACACACCTTAGTATCGATATTTTTAGTTTGAGTATCGATACTTTCGATACTCGCGTCAGTATCGATATATCGATACTTAGGATCGATATGCCCATCCCTAGTGGATACAGTAACGTTAGGTATGATAACTCGAAAGTGTTTAAAGCAAGAACTATGGTGCGAGTTCAGTGTTGGTTTTTAGCCAAGTCCGTTTAAACAAAGATAACATTTATTTACAGCACTCTTCATGACAATCACCAATGTTCAAAAAACAGGGGGCTTGTAGAGGATGTTGTTTCCTTGAGAAATCAGCTGAGATTAACCGAGAAAAACCTACAGTCGAGGTGAGGCATTTAGTCTGTTGAGGATTGCTGAAATGTATTGTGGGTTTTGCTTGATGATGGCTCTTTCAGATATGATTCAAGATGCAGTTTTGTGTCTGTTGTTTAAGTTATAGAAATGTCACTTGGGTCCACAAAATATTAAATGTCGTTGTTTGTTTTGATATTTTTTGTAAATATTTACTGTGGTATTATTATTCACGTTTTGTGATACAACACTACTGGTAAGTATTATTGAATTTCTCGTATTGTTAGCATTTCATAATAAAAAAAAAAGGTTGTACTGGCACTCAATTCAGTCAATCAGGAGATGACATCAGTAGTGAGGATAATAACAGAAGAGCCTTGGATGGATTCCCAGGTCGTCTTTCTTAAGTTTAGAGGACCTTCAGAATCCTGTTCCTGGACAACCAAGAGGAGCATATTCACACCCTGAGCAGAGGGTGTGTGCACATACAGGTGCATCTCAATAAATTAGAATGTCGTGGAAAAGTTCATTTATTTCAGTAATTCAACTCAAATTGTGAAACTCGTGTATTAAATAAATTCAATGCACACAGACTGAAGTAGTTTAAGTCTTTGGTTCTTTTAATTGTGATGATTTTTTTAGTAAAACCATGGTTCATTATCATAAGGGACTCCCAGTGACCGGCTGTTGCATCCATAAAATGCAACCTTTTTATTCTGACAGTGTATGATTTATATTAACATTACAGAATAGAACCTGATCAATATTATCTTTCAACGTTCAATTTAAATAAATGTAATTGTACAAACTATGTAGGCTACGATTTCAATTTGTTTATTGTGAAATAACTCAAACATATGTTTTTTTCTGTCCTCTGATAAGCATTGTTCAGGGCTGCTGTTCCCAAAAGCTTTAATGCTTTCTTATGATACTTTTGGGAAACGCAGCCCTGTTTGAATGCACTTTTAGAAGTGAGTGAACGCTCTCTTTGATGGATTGGTTCTGTCTTGCAACATTTGCGTGTGTTCAGATGAGCAGGAAAATAATTCTATCCTACACAATTACTTGCGAACAAAGGTTATTTGTTCAATTCAATGCATTTGTACGCATTATTATTATTATTTTAAATAAACGAAATCACTGGTAAATAAAACACACCTTAGTATCGATATTTTTAGTTTGAGTATCGATACTTTCGATACTCGCGTCAGTATCGATATATCGATACTTAGGATCGATATGCCCATCCCTAATTTACAATCAATAAAGAGCAGGCTATTGCCTAAAATAGTACATGTGCGACTTTTGTTGTCCTGGTGCTGCATTACATAATTCTCCCACCCCAAAGGCCTGTTCACACCAAGAATGTTAACTATAAAGATAGAGCTATATTTGTGTCCACACCAATGCACAATAACGTTGTTTTTTTTGTAAGAACATGCTGCATTTGTCGCCTTCCACAAGCCGTTCCACTTCCACAAATTGTTTCGAAAGTGTTTCCAACGATATTGTTTCTGTTGTCGTTCTAGTTGTAGTGTGGACTTCTCTATTATCCTAGAATTAAACAATTATTGAAACTTGGTGTGCACAGACCTCAAGTCTAAAGTTATGATGTGAAAAATGAAATGTTGTAAATAAGTTTCTAACATAATTCACCATGGTTACTAACCAGTAAGTGTTTGGAGTTGGGTTTTTCTGTATTATGGCCCCAGGTTTAGTAATTAAAATACTTGATTTGTATGTTCTTTCCCACATAGTTCAATGTATCCTGCCCTGTTGCACTAAGTAACCATCAGTTAAGTGCAGTGTTCCTCAGAAGAGCACGCTGCTTATGTGGAGATGGAGGAACGTGCTCGCAGCTGCCTGCTGCGCTCCAAAGCCACCCTGGAGCAGGACATCAAAGCCTCCTACTTGATGGACCACATGGTCAGTGACGGCATCCTGACAAATGATGAAGAATCAAGGGTGCTTGGCAAGGTTTGTTGTGGTGTTCAAACATGCTCCGTTTTACTTATTACGTCTAAAACGTGTATGCAAGTCAAGTTTTCCTATTTCTGCTTCTCCAGCCTACTAGAAGAGAGCAGGCCGAGGTTAGTCCATGTCTAGGTGGAACTTCTGCCTGCTTGAATCTGAAATTTGAAAAAAATAAATACATAAAACTCTGATAATGGAGAGCAGCTGGTCTTGGAGATAAGCTATTTTCAGCTGAGCTTATGAGAGAAATGTTCCTTTCTCTATATTGTTGCGGTTATCTTGCATAATTAATTTAACATCCTAATTTCATTGAAATACAAGGGTTTGTCGTGTGTGTGTGTGTGTGTGTGTGTGTGTGTCTCTGTTTCTCTCTGTTTGTAGGTACAAGCTTTGAAGTGCCTGTTGAAAGTGGTCTAGATGAGGAGAAAGGCCTGGAAATTCTTGCTTTGTATGTTAACGGGAAACCACAGAAACTTCCAGAACAGGCCCGCAGCATCGTGAGCGAATGTAAAGGTACGAATCACTCTTTATGCAAAAATTAACCAGAACCTCAAAACATGATGAAACGTGACCAAGCACCTAAAGACAGCATTTTGAATAGCAATGGATTAATAGTACTTAATACTATGGTTATAGTAATTAAGTACCATTAGGGTAGTCCTTTACACATATGACCATTGTAAACGTTTCTCCTGTTAGGTTCTCCTCTTGTTGTTTCTCTCATTGGAGCTTTATTGAGGGAGTTCCCTGATCGGTGGAGCTACTACCTGCGACAGCTTCAGAAGAAGCAGTTCAAGCGGATCCGCAAGTCATCATCCTATGACTATGAAGCTCTGGACCAGGCCATGGATGCCAGCCTGCAGGTTTTGGAGCCCGAACACAGAGATCTGTACAGAGACCTGAGCATCATGCAGAACGACGTCAAAGTGCCTGCTAAGGTCAGGCTGAAAATCTGTTGCCAACTACTAAAGTAGTGCTAGATACAGAATCAATACCATTAAAATACTTAATGTTTTATTATACTTGCAAATGTGACATAAGGATGGATTTTTTTTAAATGGCTTTTTTTCATGTAAAGTAGTCTTTTTGTTGGATTTTGTTTTGTTATGCAGGTTCTGTCAGTGCTGTGGGATCTGGAGTTGGAGGAAGTGGAGGATGTCCTACAGGAGTTGGTGAATAAATCTCTGCTGTTTCGAGACTGTAACCAGCGACCATACCACTATTACCTTCATGATCTGCAACTGGACTTTCTCATTGAACAGAATCGTGATCAAATTGCTGTGAGTTATGTTGCATCTCTTTTTAAGAGATACCACCAGAGAACAAGGTCTGAATTGTCATGTTTCCTGTAGGAACTGCATAAGAAGCTGGTCCGTCAGTACCAGCAGTTTTATAATGAAAGGCCACCCAGCTCTGGAGATATAGACTGTTCGTATTGGTACCGCTTCCTCCCGTACCACATGGCTAAAGCAGGACTGTCTAAGGTAATGTATGGCCTAATATTTCATATGTAGAATCTTCTAATGATTCCTGAAACATCATGAACATTCAGTTCTCTCATTTCAGGAGCTTTATTCACTGATGTTTTCCTTGGACTGGGTCAAAGAGAAAGCTCAGTTTATGGGATCTGCCCATCTTATCAACGACTATGTAGAATATGGTGAAATACTAGACAAAGAGGTATTTATACTGTTGAGTCTTAATTTCGATTTGATATTCCTTACGATTGCATGTCTTAATCAGTTTAGACTGCTCAAAGTATTTACATAAAGTCGGCATGGAATACAGTTTGTGTAAACAGGCCAGGTTGGCAAGTGTCACTTTTTGATTGTTGTGCCTCAGTCTGGACAACTTGTGATAAACATGTTTATGATAATGGCTTGTTTTTAAAAGCGTTTATTTGTAACTTAATTTTTGCTATTTATATATGTATATTTGTTTATATTTAAGTCTGATGCGTTTTAAATGGGTTCTAAAAATTAACTTAAAACTAAGAAAAACTTTAATTTTCACATAGTTACTATGTGAACATTTTATTGCTGATAAAATCACTGTCATGATCTTAGCCACAATAACACCTCTTGTTCTGTTTAATGATAAATTGTGGTGTTTTCACACAGAACAGTGAGGTGAGACTGCAGTTTCAGGAGTTCCTGTCTTTAAACGGACATCATTTGGAGCAGAGGCCATTTCCTGACGTAGTGCAGTTGGCTCTGTCTCAGCCCGCGTGTTCAGAGGTTTACAGACAGGCCTTGATGCAGGCGCAGAAGAGGGCCAGCAGAGGGCAGCTCTATATGGACTGGGTGTATGCATTTCACTGCCTCACACAGTAACTTTCATGTAGTAGATCAGATTGAAAACGGATCGATTTTGATTGAAAGCGTGTTTTGACTTTTTAGGAACAAAAATAATCAGGACAGTTCGTCTCGGCTGGTCATGCATCCTCACCAGGGGTCTGTCTACTATGCTGGCTTCTCCAAAGATGGGAGTAAAATCGCCTCTTGTGGGGCTAACAAGGCGCTGCGGGTAAATATCAACTTGTGTCCTGCTGTTCGTCTCGACACTGTGCAGTATTACGTGATGGCCAAATTTGTCTTTTTGTACTCAACAGGTGTTTAAAACAACCTCTGGAGAGAAACTTCTGGAGCTTCAGGCTCATGACGAAGACATTCTGTGCTGTGCCTTTTCTCCAGATGACAGTTACATTGCAACCTGCTCCAGTGACAGGAAGGTTAAGGTTAGCGTGTCTGTCTCAGTGCCCACTTTATTTGCTGGTCAGTATCTTTCTGTAGGGCAATAGTTTGCTCCAGATTTGTTCTGTTACAAATGTGTAAACGGTTTCTTATCCTTTTTGTTGCTTGACCGACATCAGACTCTACACTGTCATTATGTGGTAAAGTTCTGTGAACATTTTTCAAAAGTCAGTCAGGAGAATGAGGTTTGTTTTGTGTGTTGTAGTTGTGGAGTGTTGAGCGAGGTACTCTTATCAGAGAGTTTGGGGAGGAACACGAGGAGCAGATAAACCACTGCCAGTTCACCAACACAGGCCGACGTGTCCTGCTGGCCACCTGCTCAAACGACAAATTCACCAACACTAAGGTGAGATGTTTTTAAGAGTTTTAAATTTGTACTTTTTAAAATGTATTATTTTTTTTTTTAGTAGTGAATAGTAGGATAGCTTTTTTTTTGGTTTACTTTTTGAATTTTTAGAATTCTTTGAATTTTTACTAGTTAAAGGGGTCATCGGATGGCCATTTTCCACAAGTTGAATGAAATGAATGAAGTCTTAATGAAAAGTCTGTAACATAGTTTGGTTAAAATTTCTCAATGCTAGTGTAAAACAGTTTTTACCCTGTGAAAAACGGCTCTGTCTACAGCAAGCAGTTTTATTGCATGTTGCTTTAAATGCAAATGAGCTCTGCTCACCGCCCCTCTCTTCCGAGAGACGGTAAACTTTAGCCGTGTTCATCGTGAAACTCGCTAACTAGCACATTATTGGGAAAGGTGATTTGCAAAGATTCATTAAAAAGCCTTACACTCACTTTGTGGAGGTGAAGCTGGATCACGAATGATTCGCATGAAGATAGACTCATTTAGGTAGTTCGAGGGCACATTCCCTTCAAAAACAAACGTAATCATCTGAGATCAGCTCAATTTGAGAAAAGGGAAGGGATTTAACGATTTAAAAAAAAACAACAACAAAAAAACACTTGGGATCTCTATCATTATAGGGTGGTTGTGTACACACTGCCAACACGCATTTCAGTTCACACAGCTTGTAAAAGTGCATGTCGCATCCGATGACCCATTTAAGATTTTTTTTTTATGTTTTTACTTTGGAAATTTTTGAATTTGTTAGAATTTCTTGTAGTTATAATTTGTTTGATTTAGAATGGTTTTCATTTTTGCTGTTTTTTTTATTCATTAATTACGTTAAGTACATTGTTGTACGAGTACTCGGTAAGTAATTATATTCTAATGAACTAATTTTGTGTAACACTTGGCATATTCCCTTTGAGTCACAATTTCAGTAAGTTACCAAGTTATTTCAATAGCCACTCCAGTGAAGCATTTTCTCAGAATGATTCAGACAGTTAGCTTGTGAATTCATGGCTATTTTTGAAAATCTTTAATAAAATCAGCTTAATAGAATAGCCAGTGCATAACGGTGCAGAAAGCAGGTGTGTAGTAGTGGCGCTCCAAAGAGTTTGATAATTAAATCTCATCTTTTCTGCACCCTCCATTTCCTCTTTCCACATTTAGAGGCAGATTTGGTGAACATGAGTAATGAGAATGACAGCTGGTAGGACGCTCGCTCAGAACAGCAGAGGAGGGGAACGGGGCAGCCGTGTAATTTTACAGCTTGTGAAATTTGCAGAAAGAATTGTGGGAGATCCGTAGGAGTGTGACAGCAGGAGTCTGCAGTTGAGCTGTATTCAATTGAGGGTGCGAAAAACGGAGAGTGAGCAAGCATGGTGTCAAAAAACGTAATGAGAGCAACCCCCCGGTGGAGGCGTGAGCACAAAAGGGGCATTTGGTGAAATATCTCGGCATGAGGAGTGAAAGAAACGCCCTGAAATGAGATTTGGAGAATGTAACTGCAGGAAATATCTTGTTCAACACATCTGCTGACTAAATATGTTCTTCTCTTATATAGGCGGTCCTGTTCAATAGACCCTGACAGAATGATCAATATCCCTACACAAAGCATACGTTATCCCGTTCTTCTATTAGTCTTACCCTTTTGCCCTCTTTCATTTCTTTCCATCTTCGTTTTTCTTGCAGCTATGGAACCCCAACAAGCCGACTTCTCAGAACACTATGTTTGGACACATGGAACCTGTCAATCACTGTTGCTTTTCTCCTAACGATGCCTACCTCGCCACTTCATCCAGTGACGGCACCTTGAAGGTTGCTTGACTCTTTCTTTGCTTTGATTTATTTATTGGCTAGCTGTTTTACTTGCCCATTTATTGTATTTGATTAATTTGCCTGCTTATTTAATGCATGCTTTGTTTTAATTTTAATGCGTTTATTATAGAATTAAACTTTAAAAAAAAAAAATTTTTTTTTTAATAGAGATTATAAAAACAGCTTAATCTACAACCTCATCTATTTATTTACATTCACATTTATAAGAGTGTCAAACTGCTGGATCATCTTTGGTCAGTACAGGTGTTCTCTTATCGGTGTTTCTTGCACTGTTGTCTTTTGTATCTGTCAGCTGTTTGAGGTGTCATCTGCGAACGAGTGGAAATCAATTGATGTCAATAGTTTTTCCCCAGAGAGTGACGATGAAATAAAAGCCATCGTGAAATGCAGCACTTGGTCAGCCGATGGCTCACGGATCATTTGTGCTGCCAGAAACGCTGTGTTTGTAAGTGATTTTGTGAGTGGTGTTGTGAAATGAGTTGGCATCGCCACGTCTGTAACAGCTTTATATATATATATATATATATATATATATATATATATATATATAAAAAAAGCGCTGTTACAGGCACTAAATCAAAAATATTGAATATTTATTTAATATACTTTTTTTTTTTGATTCACATCAATCACACAAACACTTAAATCTTATGATAATGTACTTTAATGCACCAATTCAAATAAGTATTCATAAAATCAGTTATCTACTAAAGTTGTTGGAAGTTTTAAAAAAAAATTTAAACGTGTGGTTATTCCTGCTTCCCCTGTGCTCATGGTTTGTGTTAACTTTTGTATATCGTCTGTTGTATGCATGTAGGTGTTTGACGTGAAGACGTCAGACATGTTGTTGGAGATGAAGACGAGTCGTCTGAGCACAGTGCAGTACTGTCACGCATGTCCCAACAGCAGCCTGCTGGCCGTTGCACTCTCTCATTACACCGTAGAGGTACAGCACACCATGAAGTGAAAATAGTTTTTACTCTGTAGACAGCATTTCCAAACATTTCGCCACCTTGCTTAACTCTGGGTTTGCATTTTTGTTTCTATACAATAACTTTGTGTGACAAATCTTTAATATTCAGTTGAAATTCGCTTAAGCCATTGCACCTGCTGTAACCCCTTAGTTGTGTTATAGATTCTGTAAGTGTCTTCATAATAAACCACTGTTCAAAAGTTTGAAGTCGGTAAGATTTTGAAACGTCTCTTCTCATCAAAGCTGTATTTATTTGATCAAAAATTACAGTAAAAAGTGTTAAATTTCAAATATTTTTAAATGTAACTTATTCCCTTGACAAAGCTGAATTTTCAGCAGGCATTACTCCAGTCTTCAGTGTCACATGATCCTTCAGAAATCATTGTACAATTCTGAGTTGATGCTAAATATGTTGAGAGAATTTGTGCTGATTGTTTTGTAGAAAACATCTTTTTAGTGGTTTTAAATAGAAATTTTCAAAATGTAGTTCAAAAGTGCTATATTGATTTGAAAATCAATGGTAACAAGTGTTTTTTTTTGTCATTTGATCAATTTAATTGCTGGATAAAAGTGTTAGTTACTTTAAGAATCTTACTAACCCCAAACGTGAACAGAAGTGTGTATGTTTTAAACAGCCAGTGCAGGTTTACAGGACATGCAGACAAAGTTGAATGTGTTCTGCCCTTGTCCAATCAATGTTATTAGCCTCTTACATATGCAAATAAGAATGTTAACGTAGGGTTTACCATTGTACAGTGAGAAATCTCAAAACTGAATTACCACAATTAAGAATGAACAATGTAAAACAAGGTAATCCTGACTTGTTTTTTTTTTTTTCTCTCCAAGTTGTGGAACTTTGAGACCAGTAAAAAGAAAGCCGAATGCAATGGGCACCTGAGCTGGGTTCATTGTGTCCAGTTTTCACCTGACGGCTCACTCCTGTTGTCCTCCTCTGATGATCAGACCATCAGGGTAAGCTTGCTTTGGTCCCTCTCTTCCTGAAGTGAGGTTTTTTTTTTTTTTTTTGCAGTTATTGTTTGAACAGAATTGACTTGTTATCACAAGAAGTGTTAACGCTTGTCTAGCTGTGGGAGACTGATCAGGTTCACACCTCCTCTGCTGTGGCTCTGAAGAGGGATTCTGATGTTCTCTTCTCCCAAAGTGATGTTACAATAGTGGCATCAGACAGCAGAAACCGATTACAGGTACGGTCCACCAGAGACCTGTGCGTCTAGTGTTCGCTTGCTGCTGTTTTTTGGTTGATTGCGTGTATATATGACATCTAACTCTGCCATCAGGTACGGACCGGATTGGCAGGTGCCGTTGTGTTTGAGAGCGAAGAGTTGCCGTCCAGGATTCGCTGTACTTGCATCAGCAGAAATGCTTCGCGTGTGGCCCTGGGAACTGACAAAGGAACTGTACAGGTATTTCAGCTCACCTGTGGGGTATCGTCATTGCCAGTGCTCTCTTCCTAATGTTCTACTCAATTTCTTGGGTTTTTGGATGAGCATGCAAAGCACTCTGGGTAAAAATAGCCTTCAGGATGCTTGTGGGTGTTTTGACTCCCCTCTGGCAATGAGATTTGCCATGGCTGTCAACTGCACTCAGCCCTCTAATCTCTCGCCCTTCCTTTCCCAAACCCATTCCTTCCCTTCCGTCTCTACTGAATGTCGTCATGCTGGAGGCGAGCGTTGTCCTCCTGTGTTGCACAGAGTGTACTGTAGTGTAATAGATGTGACTGGTACAACGGGGATGCCTAGAGGTAACAGCTGACTGATAAATAAGCACTGTTCTCTCAATCTTGCGTTACACCTGTTTACTGCCCAATAACCATTTATTTAGATTGCTCCTCTCCATCTCTGCCTGATTGTGTGTTCACCTGAAAGAGAGATGGACAGATGGATTTAGAAAAGCGGTAAAATTTCATTTTAAATGAATAAAACCGTAAACAATGTAGCCGGTTTAGTAGTTTACCACAGACACATTTTTTTTTTTTATTAAATATGCATTTTGTTATTGTGGATTTTTTTTTTTTTTTTTTAACTAATGGAATTGTTTGTTGTAATTGTGGTTTTGATGTGGTTTAACTGAAACCTTTTTAAACAATGTTTGATATAACATTTTATAAAGTGATTTGCAGGTTCTTTTTTTTTAATGCACATAAGGCTTTCCTTCATCTGCAGTAATGTTGGTAACATTATGAAACACCAGAGGGCACCAGATTGTTACTGGACTGTGCAGAACATGGCAGATGTGAACAGCTCACTACTAAAGCAATTGTCTTTCAGTAAATGCAGTTTCTTGCATGTCTTGTTGTTTGTTTTTTTCCCACTAAGGAGAACCCTGGCATTATTGAAGTGAGTGGAAAATTGAGAGAGGAGGTATTTGTTTGTGTATGTGTGCGCAGACAGGAAGAGTGAAAGTTAGACAATTTCTGAAGAACGTTGGATGGAGAGCCTTGCAGCTGCTGAACTTG